AACACAAACTGAATGGATGTCCAATTACTTCCCTAACTCCAGCACCCTTCTCCATGGGATAATGAGAAAGAAACTTGTGCCTCACCCCTGACCACTGGACTTTCCAATAAAGCCTATTCTTATGGGACATTGTGGTATTTACCTTTCCCACCTTGTTGCCATTCAGTAAATGTTAGCTACTCCTCCTTCTATTACTTTGGTGTTAGCTCCATTTATAAAGGAAGCTTCAGAGAAGATGTAGTAGCCTTGGGTATGACTGCTTACGTAGTCAGCCATATAAAATTTCCTGCCTAAATGACAACAGTTATTCTTAGCACACTGTTGTCAGTTTTACCTCAGATCTCTTCCATGTGCTGGTCTCGTGAAGTCCTATAACATAAAACTTGTGAGCACACTAAGCACTGTCACAGATAAAGTTTTAAGTTAGAATTTTCCAAGTCTTTACATATGTGCAAAAAATTAGTTGTAAGTTTATAGGGATTCAAGGAAGAAAGCTTAGAAAGTACACTTAGAAACTTCAGAAGCAAAACAGATGTGGGAAAAAATTTGGTCTTCAGAGTTCTCAATTCTCAGCCTTAAGGTAAATTTATGATATTTTTACAAAGAGAGAAAAGGAAACTACTATGCTTTGAAGTAGAAGTAGTATATGCCTAGCTTTTTGGCTGCAGTTTTATGATATAATAAAGAAAGCATAATGATTTTTTTATTTAAAAAAATGCTAAGGGGCAAAAAGTTCATGCACTTAAAACAATGTCCCACTAACTTAAAGCAAAACTAAAAATAAAAACATTATACAGAAGCAAAATGATATTTTCTTTTGAAAATTTTCATAAAAGAAAGAAGTCAAATCTGCAAGTCATTCAGGGTAAAATATATGTTTATAAACCTACAAGAGACAGAATTCCTGCTTTCAAAGAATTTTATAGGCTAAAAACACAATAAAAATATTTTTGGAAAGAATTATAGGTCATGAGATGTAAGAGATGCGTCATCAGTAAGGAAGCTCCTATTTTCTACTTAATAGTAAAATTTCAAATTTTCAGTGAAGTATGATTTAGTGCTCCAAGGTAATGAAGAAACATACTCTCTTATATTTCCTGTCCTACCCATCTTCTGTAGGTGTCTTTAAATGTTGGCCTTCTTAATGTCTTTCACCTTACTATTGGTGGGAAGCACAAAATGGACATTTCTAAGGAATATTTGATGAAGAACTGGTGATAGGACCCTGCCTGCACCCCAAGAACTTTAAGAGGTGAAAAAGAGCAGAGCACCCAGCAGGCTTTGAATTACGTCTTTGTGCTTTAGCTACAAAAGTTCAACATGCTCAGATGGTCATTAACTGCACGAATTTCAGTTTGTGGACCTGGAAGTGGGAGGAAGTGGAGAAACAACAAAAGGAGCTAGCTGTGAGACTGCTGAATAAATGCAGAATCAAGCAAATGGAAGAAATAACATTTCCCACGCTTTGTGTTTAGGGAGCCAGAGAGATTTCATCAAAGCATAGCTTAGACTGAAGTTTGCTTTTCAACAACTTTTTAAAAAGCAGAGATTTCATCCCCATACTCCTACTGGACAGGATAGACTGTTCAGCAAGGCCTTATCTCACCTGTGTCTTCAGGCCCCTGAGCTGTAGCGCTAATCCACTCACCTCTGCTATTCCCAGAGAGGAGTCTATCCCTAAAGGAAGCTGGCAAAATGCATAACTCCAGGGGGCACCCTACACACATGCTAAAGCATGAATGGTGCAATGTGAAAGCTGCCTCCTGAGCTGTGCCACATGACATGCTCCCAACAGAGGGATGAGGAGGCTGCTGGGGTTCTCTCCATCAGGCCAGAGACACTTTAAGTTAAACTGCTAGAGCCTGTAATGAGCAGTGAAAAACAGATAAGGACATAAGATTTTTTCAAAGATTAATGATGAATGATTGACATTTGCGTAATGAACTGTAGACTCTGGTGAGAAATTTAATTGATCAATCCTTCAAAATCTATAGAACTCTCTGAGTCATAACCCCACCCCACTACTCTTTGGTCTCATTTCCCTCTGACTTTGCATGTTCTCTTCCCCTATCCCAAATCCTTGTCCACATCCCTTCATTTGTACCTTTCATTCATATATCTCTTCTCAGTTTGTCTCTTTCATCTTTCCTTCTGCTTATAACATTTATTTCTCTGTGCTATTTTTAAGAATATTTTTATTCATTTATTTGAGAGAGAGAGATAGAGCGAGCAAGCAGGAGGGAGAGGAAGAGAGAATCTGAAGCATACTCCACAGTGAGCACAGAGCTCAAAGCGGGGCTTGTTCTTACAGTGGGGAGATCATGACCTGTGCCAGAACCAAGAGTGGACCAACTGAGCCATACAGATGCCTCCCTGTTCTGCTATTCTAAGCATTACCAATATGTCTCCTCTTAGCGCTCTTTCTGCTTTTCCTTTCTGTGTCCCAGCAGGCACCATTCATCTCCATCTGCCATTTTACTGTCTATTGACCTTTCATGTCCTCTTGTCATATCCAGTTTCTTCTGTTTTTCTAGTTTTCTATCTTTTCCTCCAACTGACCATAACAAGAAGCCAAAGTACACTTGTCCATGTTCTCTCTGTGGTCCCAGATTGATTATCTTCCATGTCTTTGGTCCTTGAGAATATACAGAATATTTTGGGGGAAAGCCCTTGATATTTAAAGCTGGCATTTTCATTATACTTTGATATACTGCAACCTTATAAATATTTATAATATATACCGAAGAATATTTTTATAATATTTTTTTCTTCCAAAAAAGAGTACTAAAGTCCAGGCTGTGTGATCCTTCAATTCAAATGTATAAATCTTCCTCACTGATTTTAGAATTCCTGAAAAAATGCTCGAAACTATGTCAGAATGCTGCTCAAGCCTCTATTTTTCTGTGGACTTTTGGTGTACACAAAAGCCAAGCCTGCTTGCTGGTCTTATTCCACCAAATTATTATAATACCTCCAATAAAGTCAACCTTTGAACAACAACATTTTCATAATTTTGGAACACAAATAATGATTTATACAACTCTGAGCTTTTAGATTAAGTAGAAAGCTAGTCCAGTAGAAAAATAATATAAAATAAATAAAACATTAAATTAATTAAGAAGAATAAAAAGAGCAAAATGCAAATACACAAAATGAGATTGGGTTGAGGAAGAAAATAACCACAGAAACAGAGGAATCTTAATACACTACTTTAGTCAAATATGGCCAAATAATTCTGAAAAAGGGGATAAAATAAGTATTCAAAGGAAGCATAATCTGCTAAAATTGACTGAAAAAAAGAGAAAGAACAAAAGAGACTGATATTCAGGGTCGATACTCCAGATACTTTTATAGAATGGACCTCAAACAGAAAGAATTGAATTTAGCTGTACCTGTGCATTCTGGCTGAATTAGCCTTGCCAATAGCCATACAAAAATAGAAAAATTTGACAGAGAGCTACCCTTAGAAGAGGCATAAGGTACTGATGGTTTAAGAGGGAATTCTATCAAACCTTGAAAGAGTAGATAATTCCAAATTACTGAAATTCTTTTAGAATATAGAAAAAGAAAATAAATAAGAACTTAGTATTTAATAAGTTAACATTTTAAATCAGAATAAATGTTGAAAGGAGATAGGTGACTCAATAAATATTTTTAGGACAACTGAGTAGCCATCTGGATTGACAGCTCACACCACACACACACACACACAAAACTTCAAATGGACCAATGGCTAAAATATTCAAAATAGATCCTTAAAAGTACCAGAAAACAACATGACAACATTTTAATCACAAAATGAAAAGAGCTTTTCTAAATAGATTTATAGTGAAAAATTGATAAATTATATTACCTAGAAACATTACTAAGGCAAAAAATACTCTAAGCAAAATTTAAAGATAAGAAGTGAAGGGGAAAATCAACATTTTTAGCTCTTACCATAAACAAAGAGACACATCAATTAATAAATAAATAGTTCTAGCAAAGCTAAGTGAAAAAGAAACAAACTCAATGGAAAAATGGGCAAAAGAAATAGTTAATTCCCATATAAATGGAAAACAAAAGACTCTTAACATATGAATATTTTCAAACCACTCACCTAAAGAAAACAATATTTAGAAACCATTTTTCACTTTTTAGATTACAAAAACCCAAAAGTTTGTCAACATCCTCTACTGGAAAAACTAAAAACAAACAAGTACTTCAGATATTGTTGGGGGGCGGGGGATATAAATTTACACAGTTCTCTGAAAGGCAGTTTGAAAATATCTACCAAAATTACAAAGGCATATACCCTCTGACTCAGAAATCACACTTCTGAGAATTTATCCTGCAGGTATATTTTCTCATGTATAAAAAGTCCTAAAGTGGAAGTGGAGGGTTAAATTCTGCGGTAATACATAGTAGCAGACAATCTAAAACAACCCAGATGCCAACCAATAGGAAAACTGATTAAATAAACTGTGGGACATTCATAGTAAGGAAAACATCATAATAGATTAAAAATATAATAACAATGAGAAAATTCTCTGTGTACTAGCATGAAAAAAATCTCTAAGAAATGAAGTTATATAAAAAATGTGAGATGCTAAATGATATATTTAGAATGCTAACTTTTATGTAAAAATGGAGACACAATTTAAAATACAATTTCTTTTGTTTACATTTTATAGACCCTGAAAGGATACACAAGCAATTAATGATAGGGAGAGGCAGTGGTAGACTAGGCAAATGAAGATCAGTTATGGGAGGGAGGCTTTCATCATATTAAAACACTGATTAATTTTATATAATATTATCTATTTTAAACATGAGGAAATAGTTGCCAAGAAGAGAATACTTGCTTATGATAGAATACCTAGGAGCTATTGGGGCCAAGATTTGAATTGAAAAAGAGAAAATGTGTTAAATCATGTGGCACATATTATATATCATTTACATGGCTTTGAAATATAGTATATTAGAACAACAGGACTATTTTGAATAATGCTTCATTTTACCTTATAGTAACATGTAGAACTCTCTTCTTCACAGAATCCTTTTTGTTCAGATATTTCCCTGGATCCTGTTTTTTCAATGGTTTTTTCAAAGGAAGAACATGGGCTTCAGTGGAGGGGAAGAACAGTTTGGAAAGAGCATTGGCAATTCTCCAGCCTATGTATTTAGAGTAAGTTTCATCCCCTACATTCGATGAGACTTTTGTACTATAATTAGTGAAGGGATCAGTTGGGTCATTTAACTCAGCCTGTTGAAAGAAAAGAAAAAGGAATCAGTTGAAACAGAATTAAATGAGAGGAAAAATGACACATTTTTAAATAAAAGATAAACGTATGTTCATTTTGACTAATGTTGCATTCTTCCTGTTAAATAAAAATAACTTTTATAAGAAAAAAAAGCAGACTCCCAAAAGATTTTTAAAATTATAAGTTATTAATGAAATAAACAATTAAGCATGAAAAAAGTCTTGAAATTTCAAAAATTTAATGATATGATTTCCTTTCTTTTTAAAGATTTATTTATTTATTTGCCAGAGAGAGCAAAGTTGGGGGTGGGGGAGGAGGAAGAATCCCAAGCAGACTCTACACTAAGCACAGAGCCCACCATAGGGCTTGATCTCACGATCCTGAGATCATGACATTAGACTCACGACCCCGAGATCACGACCTAAGACAAAACCAAGAGTCAGACACTTAACTGACTGCACCACTCAGGTACCCCTTAGTGATATAATTTCGGTCTTAAATTTGCATGGTTTTCATACCTGAATTTCATATTTATATTTAATAAGAAATTAAGCAATCAGAGAGGAAGTGAGGTGATGGAGGAGTAGGAGTCTTAAATATTTGGTCCTAGGAGTCCAGTTGGATAGTTATCAAACCGTTCTGAACACATAAAAGCTCAACAAGAGATAGAAGAAAAGAAGAGCAACAATTCTAGGAACAGAAAATCAACCACTTTCTGAAAGGTAAGATGTGCAAAGTGAATCTGAAGCGATGGGAAGATAGACTGCAGGGGAAGGGACAGCTCCCAGCAAACGGCGGAGCAGTGGAGCACAAAATTGGAACTTTAAAAGTCTGCTCCACTGAGGGACATTGCTCCAGAGGCTGAGCAGGGGTGGAGCCCTCATGGGGACTGTGTCTCTCAGGACCCACAGGGTCACAGAAAGACCGGGGGTGCCTGAGTGTGGCAGAGCTCCCAGGCATCAGAGAGGGGAAGCCCAATACAGAGACAGATTAAGAGAGAGCTCTTAGCTTGGAGTTACCTTAAACTGTGATCTGAGGCACAGTTGGGCCACTGCTCTTCAAGCAGGGACCCCACAAGTGGCAGATCTGGAGAGACCCCCTCCTTCTTCCTCTGGGAGGAGTGGCAAGGAGCAGGAAACTGATGGGTTTGGAGACTCCAAACAGAGCTGTGTGCCAGAGACTGAAACACTCAGTCACACGCCAGGTGAGCATGGAGTGCAGCCAGAGACCAGGGAGATGGGAGGGATTGACGCTTTTCTCTGAAGGTGCACTGAGGAATGGGACCTCTCAGCTCCTCCGGGCTAGAGAGATAGGGAGGACACCATTTTCATTCCCATCCCCAAAAGCTCTATGGAAAGCATTCAGGGAACAAAAGCTCCCATTCAGGGAACAAGAGCCCCAGAGACCCAAACTGTACAGATTACTTAGCCTGGCTCCTGGCAAAGGTAGTATAATTTTGCCTCAGGCAAAGACATTTGAGAATCACAGCAACAAACCCCTCCCCCAGAAGATCAGCAAGAATATCCAGCCAAGACCAAGTTCACTGATCAATGAGAAGTGCAGAACTCCAGAGCAGCACATAGAATTCATGGCATTTTCCCCATGGTTCTTTAGTCTTTCAAAGTTAAATTTTTTAAATTTTATTTTTCTCCTATTTAATTTTTCCTCTTTCCTCTTGTAATTTTTTTAACTATTTTATTTTATCAATAATTTTTTTAAATCTTTTAAAATTTTCATTGTTATAGTCATATTTTATCCCTTCATTGTATTTAACCTTATTTCTTGTATACATATAGGGTTTTTTTTTCCTTTAAAATTTTGGGATACAATTTCTTCTAATAGATCAAAATATACCCAAAATATACCCAAAATATACCCTAATATACCCTAAATATACAATTTCTTCTAATAGATCAAAATATACCCTAAAGCACCTGGCTTTGTTCTAGTCTCCAGCCTGATTACATTCTCTCCTCCTTTTTTTTTTTCTTTTTCTTTTTCCTTATCAATTCCTTTTTTAGAATCTTTTTAAATTTTCATCTTTATGGTCATATTCCATCTCTTCATCATGTTTATTCTTATTTTTGTACATATATAAGTTTTTCTTTCTTTAAAATTATGGGAGATAGTTTCTTCTAAGAGACCAGAATACACTTAGAATCAAGTAGGTGTCTCTGTTCTATTCAACAGTCTAATATATACATTTTTATATTTTTCCCTCTTTCTTCCCCCAGTTTTGGGTCACTTCTGATTTGGTTAGTGTATATTTTTCTAGGGACTTTGCCACGCCTTTAGTATTTTGTTCTCTCATTCATCTGTTCTTATTGGATAAAATGACAAGGCAGAAAAACTCACACACATGAAAAAAAAAAAAGAACAAGAGGCAGTACGATGGCTAGGGATGTAATCAATATGGACATTAGTAATATGTCAGAACTAGAGTTCAGAATGACAATTATCAAAGCGCTAGCTGGGCTCGGAAAAGGCATAAAAGATATTAGAGAATCCCTTTCTGGAGACATAAAAGAACTAAAATCTAGTCAACTTGGGATAAAAAAAGCTATTAAGGAGGTGCAATAAAAAATGGAGGCTCTTACTGCTAGCAGACAAATGAGGCAGAAGAGAGAATGTGATAGAGAAGACCAAATGACAGAGAATAAAGAAGCTGAGCAAAAGAGAGAAAAACAGCTATTGGACCATGAGGGGAGAATTCCAGAAATACCATAAGATGAAACAATATTAGAATAATTGGGATTCCAGAAGAAGAAGGTGGGGGGGCAGAAGGTATATTGGAGCAAATGAGAGTGAGAAATCCCCAAATTTGGGGAAGGAAACAGGCATCAGAATACATGAGGCACAGAGATCCCCCTTAAAATCAATAAAAATAGGTACACATCCATCATCAGATCATAAAACTTACAAGTCTTAATGACAAAGAGAAAATCCTGAAAACAGCTTGGGACAAGATGTCTGTAACATACAATGGTAGAAATATTAGATTGACAGCAAACTTATCCACAGAGACCTGGCAGGCCAGAAAGGACTGGCATGATATATTCAGAGCACGAAAAAAGAAAAATATGCAGCCAAGAATACTATATCCAGCTAGGCTGTCATTGAAAATAGGAGGAGGGATAAAAAGCTTCCAGGACAAACACAAATTAAAAGAATTTGCAAACCACAAACCAGCCCTACAGGAAATATTCAAAGGGGTCCTCTAAGCAGAGAAAGAGTCTGAAAGTAGTGGACCAGAAAGTAACAGAGAGACAATATACAGTAACAGTCACCTTACAGACAATACAATGGCACTAAATTCATATCTTTCAATAGTTACCTGAATGTAAATGGGCTAAATGCCTGAATCAAAAGACACTGTGTATAAGAACAGATTTAAAAAAAAAAAAAAAAAGACCCATTGATATGCTATCTGCAAGAGACTCATTTTAGACACAAAGACACCTCCAGATTTAAAGTGATGGAGTGGAAAACAATTTACCATGCTAATGGACATCAAAAGAAAGCTGGGACGGCAATCCTTATATCAGATAAATTAGATTTTAAGCCAAAGACTATAATAAGAGATGAGGAAGGACACTATATCATAATTAAAGGGTCTATCCAACAAGAAGATCTAACAATTTTAAATATCTATGCCCCTAACATGAGAGCAGCCAATTATATAAAACAGTTAATAACAAAATCAAAGAAACATATCAACAATAATACAATAACAGTAGGGGACTTTAACACCCCCCCTCACTGAAATAGACAGGTCACTGAAGCAAAAGACCAGCAAGGAAATAAAGGCTTTAAATGACACACTGGACCAGATGGACATAACAGATATATTCAGAACATTCCATCCAAAAGCAACAGAATACACATTCTTCTCTAGTGCACATGGAACATTCTCCAGAATAGATTACATTCTGGGGCACAAATCAGGTCTCAACCAGTACCAAAAGACTGGGATCATTCCATGCATATTTTCAGACCTCAATGCTCTGAAACTAGAACTCAATCACAAGAGGAAACTTGGAAAGATCTCAAATACATGGAGGCTAAAGAGCATCCTACTGAAGAATGAATGGGTCAACCAGGAAATTAGAGAAGAATTTAAAAATTCATGAAAATGAAGACACAAGTGTTCAAAATCTGTGGGACACAACAAAGGCAGTCCTGAGAGGAAAATATATAGCGGTACAAGCCTTCTCAAGAAACAAGAAAGGTCTCAAGTACACAACTTAACCCTACACCAAAAGGAGCTGGAGAAAGGACAGCAAAGAAAACCTAAACCCAGCAGGAGAAGAGAAATCATAAAGATCAGAGCAGAAATCAATGAAATAGAAACCAAAAAAACATTAGAACAGATCAACGAAACTAAGAGCTGGTTCTTTGAAAGAATTAATAAGATTGATAAACCTCTGGCCAGACTTATCAAAAAGAAAAGAGAAAGGACCCAAATAAATAAAATCATGAATGAAAAAGGAGAGATCACAACCAACACCAAAAAAATACAAACAATTATAAGAACATATTATGTACAACCATATGCCTACAAATTTGACAATCTGGAAAAAATGGATTCATCCCTAGAGATGTATAAACTACCAAAACTGAACCAGGAAGAAACAGAAAACCTGAACAGTCCCAAAACCAGTAAGGAGACTGAAGCAGTCATCTAAAATCTCCCAACAAACAAGAGCCCAGGGCCAGACGGCTTCCCAGGGGGAATTCTACCAAACATTTAAAGAAGAATTAATACCTATTCTCCTGAAACTGTTCCAAAAAATGGAAATGGAAAGAAAACTTCCAAACCTATTTTATGAGGACAGCATTACCTGGATCCCAAAACCTTGATCCCTTGATCACAAACAAGGATCCCATCAAAAAAGAGATTTATAGACCAATATCCCTGGATGAACAGATGCAAAAATTCTCCCCAAAATACCAGTCAATAGGATGCAACAGTACATCAAAAGGATTATTCACCATGACCAAG